TATCCTTTCTATAGGTTATTGGCATATTATCAAAATGTATTTTCACATTCTTGAATAAAAATCCAATATTTCTTTAAAGATTTTCTATAGTATATACTAGGAATGTTAGGATATTAACTAATTTCAAGTTTTTGCTTATAGATTCTATCCTTTAGTTCTTAAGTTTCCTATTCATCCTTTAAATCTTTATCAACTTTCCCTCAGGAGGCCCCCAGGAGTACAATAATTAATCCTTCATTGAGTTATCTTCGAAACACATTATTTCATTATTTGATAACTTTTTTTCGAAAAAAGGTACACATCACTTTTTCTTCCTCTAACAGATTTTATTCTTCTTCATCGATTTTCATTGATTCCACAGGAGCTTGGGATAGCTCCGGGATTACATTCTTTTGATAAATCATAGCTAATTCTCCTGAATACACCAGAGTGTTTCCAGGACTGGTTATTTCAAAGCAATTAATAGGATGTATATCCTCTTCAAGAGTATCCTCCTCGGAGCTATCGGCTAGTATAAATATATCATTAAATTGTGATAAGATTTCTACCAGCTCTTAAACAAATGTTAAGCTTTCCGGAATATAAGGAAATATTACCTGATTATTATTTACTATACTAACTATTTCCTTTTAATGATAAAAGATGGGATGAGTTCAGCTTATAAAGGATTACAAGCAGGGAATAGGCTGGATAGTATTAATACTACAGTTGGGATATAATTTGTACAAAATTGAACTTATACTATTGCTAGGGTGGTATAAGGGTAGTTCTTTATAGATTTCAGTATAAACTAACTAATAAAAAATAAAGGATATGAAAGGATACTCCATATCCTTTTATTTCCACGCTTTTCCGGCTGGCCCCCAGAAGGGGATTAGTCTCTACGCGGTGACACCTAGGCTCCTAGTTATAATGTCTATAATAAATCGAGATATCGATCACTGATCAAACTGAGAAATTGAATCAGATTTTATGGGAATTGGGTATGGTATGTGGTGAGTTGTGGATGGTAATTTTCATTGAAAGAATTATATCATTAGACTTTTCCGAGGTTGAAAAAGGTGTGATGCAATACAGTATAAGGGAGGTTGAAGAGACATGGCCAGATATGCGGGAGGGGGAAAAGAATGGCATTTGAAGCCATCGATACTAAAGGAGCTTGTAGGATCCTAGACAAATACTCTTGTACATTATACAGCAACACACTATGGCCGAGAACTAATCAGCACAGAGGTGCCTGCAATACAAGTTCGTTGGCTTCGTGGAGCAATATGTCTGAATTATCCGAGATTATATATAATAGAAATTCCTTCGCACAACTATATCATTTCAAGCGCTTTCAAAATCAATAACTCTCCTCGAAAAGCAATTTTATCCCCTCGTCGGAGGTAACAAGATAGAGCGGAGACAATCCCCCTAGACCCAACCCCTACCGCCCAACCGCCCAAGCCGAATCCATTGCACCTCGTCCCCCACCACCAGCACACCATTACCCTTCCAGTATTCTTTGCTGATAACTCCCTTGATATTGCCAAACAAACCACACTTTTCCATCAAATTGAAACAAACATTCTATGCCAAGCAAGTTGGCGCAGTGGAAGCGCGCCGGGCTCATAACCCGGAGGTCCCCGGATCGAAACCGGGACTTGCTAAATTAGAAATGTTCTTTTGCTGGATCGGCATCTGAGGATATAACTTTTGGGCTGCTGGAGAATTGGGGAGGGAAAAATTGGAGTAGAGTTACTTGTAGATTTGTGATTGTTTCAAAGTTTATGATTCTTGGGACATGGAAATATAAAGAGATTCTTTTTTTACGAGATGTGGTTGTTATGTTGAGCCATGAATTAGGGAAGGGGGAAAATTTGGTAGGTGGAGTGATTGAGTTTTTTTTATATTGGGCCGGGAAGCTAGAAAAGCGGGGTTATTTCCACCTTTGCGGAACGAGAGTTGTGGGAGTCCTCTTTATCCTATCACAAAAAGAGAAGTTCACATCATATCCACATGGCTACCACCGTGCCACGCTGTGTTGTGGGGTTGTGGGGCAGTGGGGGTAGAATTTGTTATTCTTAGGGTTCGGTTAGCTCAGGGGCCAATGTCCCTCAGATCTATCTATCTCCGAAGTATATCTTAGTTGAATCGTAAGATTTAAATAATTCTGTACCGCTGAACGAATACAACAGAATACTCAAGATATACCTCGACTACACTTGTTCTGCAACCTACACTTTGGTAGTGTTAATCATTCACTGTCAGTTTAAACCTCAGATGATATAGGTGAACCATTCTTCAACTTGAAGTCCGACAAAGACAATGTGAGTCGTTTACTCGTCAGTTGAACCTCGGAAAATATCAGTGATTGACAATCCTCTGGCTGGCTTAGACAATACAATGTAGATGCCCTTTCGCTCTCCATTGAACTATTACCAGCAAAGTCTCTCCAATCCGTTTGAAATATTCAAATATACATTGTGTTTGTAGCCGTTGTCTCACCTTCATGTGCGTTCGTCTCGATCATATCGAGCCGCCGCAGCTTCGGAGTAATAAGTAGCATAGTGCATCTCAACCACCAAGGATAATGCACGTCTGAACGATATGCGTCCCAGGAAATATCTTGGGGCATTCGTGTGTTGGAGCCCACATCTTGGCAAGTATACCTTTTGAATTATCCTTGGTTCGAGAGTGCCTCGCCTTGCCTTGCCTAGAACATTGGAGTGCATACGGGCACGGTTTCAATACGCTTCCATGTAGGAATTCTGTATCAATATTTGTCCCCTTTAGGCATCGCAGTGTACATTCATATCGATCTCGATATGCGAATAGACGGTGACGTCTATGGCTATATTCATCAGAATGTCGGCACTTTTTCACATTTGATGCTCCGTTTTGAAATAAGCATCAAGATTCCAAATGGGTTTCAGTGCCGTCAGAATTTGAAGCTGGGCCGCGGTAGGATACAGATTCGGCTGAATAAGACATGTTGATGGAATGTTGGACTAGAGTTGCGAATTGTATTATTGGGAGAAGGACATTGGTCGCTCTCAATTGATCAAACAGATTCTCGACTGACTAAATTGGAATATAAAGGCGACTGAGGATGGCGAGCCACATCTTTTAGATCAAATCGTTGAAATTTTATACTCTGCCGTAATGTGAATGGATGTCGATGTAGATGATAGAATATGCTGTGTGGAGGTCAAGAATTTCTTACAAGTTCGTCAATAGACAACAATGACGGTTCCAGAACCGCTGGATAACTAATAAAGATTTGGAGCGACATTTGACCGATTTCAATAGCTTAATTCCAGACTGCATGTGCGAATTAGCCAGCAAAGATGGCGTGTATGATGATACAACGCGGCCACACATAAGTCTACTACCCTACTTTTCGGCCACCCCCC